GACGCCCCCGCTGGCTGCGGCTGCGAGCGGCAGGTCCAGGCAGGGGAAAGATGCTTGGAATTCGTGTCCCGGAGCAGAGAGAGACAGGAGCAAATACTAATAATAAATAATCCTGCCGGGTGGAGGCTGTGCCGGTGGAGGGAGGGGGGCAGGCAGCACCCCATGGCAAAACGGGTACGGGGGGAGAGCGGGCAGCAGAGCTTCATCGCTGCCACCCTGCAGAGGGATGAGTGGCACCCGTGGTGTCCCTTGCAGCACTTCTCTCCTCTCCAGGTGCCAGCTTGCAGCTGTATCTGGGATTTTTACTGCTTGGAGGAACATTGCAGGGTAGTGTGAGGAAGCTGTGGGTACCACCGCGTCACCCGGGACTCCCCCTGCTCCCTAAGCTCCCCTCTTTCCTATGGGGCAGCACCCATCCTTGCAAGGGGAGGCAGGAGATTGGTTGCCCCTAGGACCGGACCCTACAGCTGGGGTGGAGGAACGCTGGCAGGGCCTGGCTATCCCCCAGATTCTGCATGTCTGCTTGCAAGAGACAGCTCCTGCCCCAGGCAGCCGGCTCCAGGGTGGGTGCATCACCTGGGGAACAGCACCGAGCACAGACAAAGGGGGAGAAAGGGAGGTCCGAGGCCCCATGGGATGTCGGCGGGGGGATGCTTTGCTTTCAGAGCCTTTGCCAGAGCTGACCCCACATCCTGGCCCTGGCTGTTCCCCTGCAGATATCCGGGAGACAGCCTTCGTGTACGCCATCACGGCGGCCGGGGTGAGCCACGCCATCACGCAGGCCTGCAGCATGGGCGAGCTGCTGCAGTGCGGCTGCGAGCTGACGCGGAGCCGGGCTCCCCCCTCGCCCACAGTGGGTCCGGGCATGGAGGGCACAGCCTGGGAGTGGGGGGGCTGCGGGGACGACGTGCAGTTCGGCTACGAGAAATCCCAGCAGTTCATGGATGCCAAGAGCAAGAAAGGCAAAAATGACATCCGAGCTCTTATCGACCTGCACAACAACGAAGCTGGGCGCTTGGTAAGGCCACCGTGCTCCCTGCCCCTCTGCAAGCATCACCCCCCTGTGCCCCTACCCAGCTCAACTCTCCACCTTTATCTCCCCCGAGCCATGTACCTGCACCAGCTTTGGGTGAAATGTGGACCCAGCATCTTTCAGGGCCCCCCTTCACAGGTGCTTTGGAAACCCCCTGTGCCCCCCCCAGCACCATCCACCGGGCCAGGGCAGCACCAAGAGGCAGGGGTTTGGCTGGGGGTGCTGGGCAGGGAGGTGGGGGACCAAGGGCTGAGCATTGCCATCTCTTCCCCAGGCGGTGCGCAGCTACATGAGGACAGAGTGCAAATGCCACGGGCTGTCGGGCTCCTGCACCCTGCGGACCTGCTGGAGGAAGATGCCCCATTTCCGCGAGGTGGGGGACCGCCTGCTCGAGCGCTTCAACGGGGCTTTCAAGGTGATGGGAGGCAACGATGGGAAAACCCTCATCCCCGTGGGCGACAACATCAAGCCTCCCGACAAGCAGGACCTCATCTACTCGGCCGACTCACCCGATTTCTGCTCTGCTAACCGTAAGACGGGCTCGCTGGGCACCCGAGGCCGCGTCTGCAACAGCACAGCCATGGACACGAGCGGGTGCGACCTGCTGTGCTGCGGGCGAGGGCACCGGGACGAGACAGTGGTGCTGGAGGAGAACTGCCTTTGCCGCTTCCACTGGTGCTGCGTGGTGCAGTGCCGCAAGTGCTCCGTCCGTCAGGAGCTCAGCCTCTGCGTCTGATGGCCTGGGCTTTGGGCGAGGACAATTTGGGGGGCCACCCCCAGGCTCATGTTATGGCCCCCCTGGGACAGAGACAGGCTGAGCTGGTGGCAGGGACGGCGTGGGTGAGCCCAGTTCTGTGTCCCGGGGAGTCCTGGCTTCCCCAGGGGACAGCGTGGGGCTGCAGGGCAGCTCCACGGCCCCCATGGTGGGGGCTGCGGGCACAGAGCTTCCACTAATAAAGCTATTTAAAGCCGGTGTGGCACAGCGCTTCCTGGGGAGGGCTGGGAAGCGCTGACTGCTGTACTGGGAAGGGACTGGCCAGAGAGCTGTCCTGACCCGGCCGTGAGTCCCGATCAGCCGGACTTCCTCCAGCCTCCTGTTTGTGCTGGGACCTTTGGCAGAGCCCGGCTCACTTTTTATCCACTTTCTGCTTTTCTCTGTGGTTGTAGAGCCAGGAGATGAGTGTGGATGAGGGCGAGCGCTCTCCTGCCCCGCTCTGCAGCCCCCGGGCTGGGTGAGTGCTCTCCTCCCATCATCCGTGGCCACCATCGCTTGGGGATGCCAGTTTGTGTCCCGCCACCACCTGACCTGGGATGTTTGCGGTGACCTGCAGTCCACGGTCCCTCCGCTCACCCCTCATGCAGGAGGTATGGCTAGCTGCCCTGACACCATGGTGATGGGCTCTGAGATTCTTGAAGGTATCCTCTATTCTTTTCACTCCGTGTTCAGCCACTGTTGCTGCAGTCCCCACCGCAGGGCCTGGCACGAAGAAGCCCTGTGCAGTGCTGACACTGTTGGCTTGGTGGCATGCAAGGCATTCGCTTGGCATGCTGTGGGCCACGTGCAGCCTCACCTGGCCGGCATGGTGCCAGGCATGTCTTGGTAACCTGATCAGCCTGTGCCCCTCTTGGGCAAACACAGGGCAAGGAGCAGCCCGCCTGGCTGCCCAGCAGGGCAGGCTGCCATCCCTCTGCTCCAGAGGCTCCGGGGGTCCCTGAGGGGGTCCCTCCCATGCTGCAAGGAGCCCACAAGAACTGGTTTCTCCAGCCTTACCCAGCGTGGGGGTTTAGGTAACTGCAGAGGGGAACGTGTGTACGCAGCACCCGCTCGGCTGGCAATGTCACACTGGGCAGAGGAGCCCCCGAGGGATGTCAGCAGAGCCAGAGCCTGGGCAGAGAGGTCCATGCTCCTGTGCCTGCCCTCCATGCTGTAACAACACAGGGCATGAGGGCTTTGCCTGTCCACCCCTCTGCAAAAGGGCTACTGGGGCTCTCAGCTGAGGCAGGCAATGCCCTGCGCGCTGGGTACTGCCAGGCAGGACAGGAGCAGAGCTCCCAGTCATGGGCACACTGCAAGGCAAGGGGAGCTGCAGTGGAGTGCCAGTGATGCCCACCAGCGGGTCCCTCCTCACCTGCCCCCAGGCAGCCAGCGGGAAGCAGGGTGCTGGTGAACCATTAACTTGGCCCAGCGAACGCTGGGGTGGGAGCCTCTATACCTGTCAGCTGCAGCTTTGCAGCTGGAAATTACCTCCTGGCTTGCCCACAGCGGCGCTGGGAGAGGGGAGGCACACGGGGCTCCCGGGAACTCCCACCCACATGCCTGCCTGTGGGAACACATGGGTGGGTGTGAGCGGGGCTGGGTGGGTGCGGGTGAAGGTACCTGTGCATGCAAGCAGCTCAGTGTGCATGTGTGTGCATGCACAGGTAACACGTCTACGTGTGTTCATGACCATATGTGTGTGTGAGCTTGTGTGCATACCCATCACCGTGCATGTGAGCCCCTCATGGGTGTGCAAACAAGTTGGCCCATGTGTCTTCATGCATGTCTGTGAATACACGGCAAATTGTCAGCGTGTGTGTGCCGGTGACACCGTCCCCGTGTGTGCCTGTGTGTGAGCATGTTTGCTTGCACGTGTCTTAACTGTGTTTGCACAGGTGTGTCTGGGACAGGGAGGACATGCGTGGGTGCAGGAGGGCCCTGCAGGAAGGGAGCTGCAGGGATGCAGGGTCTGTATGCTGGGAGATGTGGGGACCCATTTCGTAGGATGAGCAGGTCCCTTTGAATTAGGAACACTGGAGCACACCTCAAGCCCTGGGCTGCCCATCAGGTGAGTTCAGTTCAGGCAGGTCCTGTGAAACTTTGGGTCACCCCTGCTCTCCCCTGGAGCCATCCCAGTCTGAGGCCAGTTATACTGGGTGATTCTGGATCCCTCTGTGAGATGTCAGAGTGCATGGGTTGAGCCCGGTAGAGCTCCGTCCCAGCTCTGACCTTCAGCAAGCTCCTCTGGAGTCTGCCTCAGTTTCCCCACAATGAGCTGTTTTCATGCTCCTGGCTGCATGGACATGGCTCTGGAGGTCTGGATCATGGATAAACCCTGGGGAAGTAATGTAGTTCTTGTGAGTAGGGGATCTGCCCTGTGTCCTCTCTGCCATTGCCCCAGATCACAGCTCCTGAAGGCTGGAGACCACAAAAGCCAAAATTGTGGAGGAGGAAGAAGCTGGAAAATGGAGCTAGCACAGGGGCAGGGGGGTCCCACTTGGAGAGAGGCACATGACCAGTTTGTGCGGCGACTCCTCTGCACCTCCGGGATATCTCCAAGTGCCCTGTCCAACTGTGGAGGAGGGTTAACTCTTGTGGGGGCTGCCAAATCCCTGCCACTGCTCCCTGCTCGCCCTGAGCTGGCAGAAGCCAAATCCATTCCCTTGGTAGCCAGGAGAGGCCCTGGCATAGGCAGGTGATGCTGGTAGCCAGGCAGTGTCTGGACCTGGCCCAGTGGTCTGGAAAGGGCTGAACAGCCAGCAGAGCCCCCTAGCAACCTTCCCAGTTCCCCAGCCCCCTAGCAGTTCCCCCAGATCCTCAGACCTCCAGGAGCTCCCCAAAACCCCCCCATCCACTAGGACCCCATCCCGGACTCCTAGAAGCACCCCAGCAGTCCCCAGGAGTCCCTCATCCCCCTAGCAGTGCCCCAGGTCCCCAGCAGTGCCCCGGGAGCGCCCCCTCCCCAGATTCCTAGAAGCTTCCCAGCTCTCCAGGGCCCTAGGAGCCCGCTGAAACCCCTCAAGAGCCCGCAGCTCCCAGCCCGGGGGGGGCAGCATCCCTGCCGTCGCCGTGGCAACCCGGGATGCG